AACTTAATGAGTATGTGATTGTTTCAGCTCACGTGTACTTCATAAGTAAACATGCGTACTGATGACAAATGAGAAGCATCCCCATTAAATAATATTAAAATGCTCACTGTCATCATTCCTATTTAACATTAGTCCCTGGAAGTATTAGCTAGTGGAATCAGACCAGAAAAAAGGTATAAGTATTAGAAGGGAGGTAGGTGTGGTCTGATTGAGACTTACAAGAGAGTATTGACAAGCACAAAATTAGGTAGCCAGAGGAAGAAGGAAAGACTTGATCTCGGTGGCTGGGGACAGAACTAAGGTTTGAGAAGCCAGCAAAGGCAGTGACATCTCTGTTACTATAGCCCCAAGGTGAAGTCGGATACCACGTCATGGGTGGTCCAGTGAAGGTTACCCATGGGCTGGGAAGGTTGTTAGAGAGCTTCTGAGGGGTATCCAGCCATGGGATTCTAAGGTGCTACCAGTGAGGATACAACCTCCTCTGCCTTTGCTGCAAATGGGTCTCCCGCCTATTCTCCTCTATTTATGGGGAGTGGGGTGGGGGAGGGGCGGTTGTCGAGCCAGCAAACTGGGCCGGGAGAAGCTGACCCCCACATGTGTCCTTCAGCTAGAGTCCCAAGTGTCTCTTCTTTAAACTGCAATATGTTCTAGTCAATGTCACCCGAGGTGTGGGCGACATAACTCTGGGGGTGCGATGAGGAACTTAGGTGGCACAAGAAGGAGGAGTGTTGACACACTGCTATTTATCTTCATGTGTTTGAGGAACTTTTATAAAGAACGCATCGAAAACATGATGCCATGGGCATTATTGCTTAGATCAAAACAATATTTAAGTCAAAAAACTAAGAAAAGTACCTTTAAAGAAACCTTAGGAATAGTACAGAGAGTGAAGCATCATAACACATTCGCGATGGGGGCATCAGAAGGGCTCAAGTTTGGGAACCCAGGGCTCTTGTCAGTGACTCCGGAGTCTCACAAACCTGGATTCTAATTCTGGAGGCTTCACTTCCCAGTTGCATGGCCTTAGATTATCCAGGATCCCTTTCATCATGTGGCATAAAAATCAATACTTTCGCACACTCATCTCCTTAGCAACCCTGTTCACAACCCAAAGGTCCATCGATGGATGAATGGAGCAACAAAACGTGATGCGCACATTCGACGGAATGTGATTCGGCTTAAAAAAGGAAAGGAATTCTGATGTGGGCTGCAACACGGATGAATCTTGAGGGCGCCACGCTGAGTGAAATCAACCGGTCACAAAAAGGACAGCTACTGAATGGCTCCACTTACTCGAGGGACCTGGAAGGGTCAAATCTACAGAGACAGGAAGTAGAAGGATGGTTGCCCAGGGCTGTGGGGACGGGAGGGGGAGTTCATGTTCAACGGGTGCAGAGTTCCAGTTCTGCAAGACGGAGAGAGCTCTGGGGGTAGATGTGGTGATGGTCGCACAACATGCACGTGTTATTACTGGACTATACACTTGACGATGGGTAAGGTGGTAAGTTTTACGTTAAAAATGCATAGAAATCAACTATAAGAAGTAATTTTATGGACTCATATAGTGGGGAACGATGGGGGACGGTCAGGGGCTTCAGGTGTGACTGATGCTTTCCAGTGATGGCATCCCCTCAAAAGCCAATATTCCCCTCCTCCCCACAAATCCAAGGATAGTCTGTGATTGGCCCAGCTTGGGTCACATGCTCATCCTGCCCCTGAACCAGTCCCTGTGCCCAGGGATTGGGGGCTGTGGTTGGATGGAACTAGTTTCAGTCCCACCCTGGAAGGAGGGTGGGGGACACCTTGGGCAGGCACAAACAGCGGCTACCACAGTGGCTAAGGGGACTGGATCCCAAGAAGGACCCAGAGCCATAGGGGAGAAGGTTGGAAAGGACAGTCTATCTTCATGCTTCAGGCAGAGAGGCAAACGGTAGGGAGAAACTTCAGGGTCTGGAGCCAGGGGAAACCTAAGAGTGACCTAGAAGTGGCCAGTGTCCTGGCACCATGATGTCCAAGTGGGTGCAGAGTCACCGCAGACAGGGGGCGCTGCTAAGCATAGAGACTCTGCAGAGCCCTTAGGAGCCACAGCCCTGGAACCAGCCCGGCCTCCAAACCACATAGGATCTGAGGGCACAGGTGATGAGGAAGGCAGGCTGGATGCCACTGGCATTTCCAAGAAGGCCAGTGACAACTCTGACCAGTGCTTTGTGATGTGTCTGGAACCTCCGAGTGCCCTCTGCTGCCTGTCCCCGTGGGGGTTAGCGGTGATTCCCTTAAAACTTGGAGATAGGACGTGGGCCGGTTGAGGGACTTTGAAGAGAGTCAGGGGGTGACAACAAAGCCCGACTTGCTCTGTATCTGAGAGATGGGGGAAGAGGAAGCAGGAGGAAGGTGGGCGAAGTGGCTGGGAGTGAGAAAGCAGCAGGCCAAGGGTGGGTGGCCTGCAAGAAGGCGGCGTAGAAGGAAAGAGCACTGACTAAGGAGCCCTGCAGCCCTGCGTCTGATCCACTATTTATTGGCTGTGTGAACTCTGACGTGTTACTGTTGCTTATGCTCTAAGCCTCGGATTTTCCACCTGTAAAATGTGGTCATGACGCCTGCCTTACAGGGTGTCTTGAGCGCCCAATGGGGTCAGGGTATCCGTACGAGCCCAGCTCAGTCCTCCACGTCCCTGCAAGGTAACAGTTTCCCATTGGTAGAGATTAGTGTTCTCTTCCACAGTGTTTTTCTGTGTGCGTGGTTCAGCTCAGACCCTTTATCTTTCTTTCTCCCGATAGACCGCAGGGCTGTGGAGAAAGATCTGTTGGCCATCTACCCTCCAAATATATGTGTGAGAAGCCAGGCCCAGAACACCCTGTCTTTTAAGCGCAGTGATAAAGGGTGCAAAGGCCAGGCGGTGACACAGGCATTTTGCAGGGAGTTGCAAAAGCAAAATAGATAAATAAATCTCAAGGACCAGCTCAGCAGCTCTGGAGAGAGGGATACTCTCTGGAATAAGACAATGACGAGAATCTGCAGTGGCAAATATTAACCTCGTGGTAATACTTCCCGAACAGTTAAAGGGGAGGTAGGAGGCTTACCGAAAGAGCCAGGTGTTCTGTGCCAACAAGTATGATTTATTCTGGAAGCAGATACCTTCTAGGATGTTCTACTGTGTGGATGGCTAAAAATTATTCCTAAGGGAGGAGGGAGAGATTGTCATAACTACAATTGCCAAGGGGCAAGGGCCCTAGTCCAGGAACAGACCTCTAGGTCAGCCCGTTGACAGGGCTGGACAGCCCAAGGGAGGGGCTGGAGAGCCAGGGAACAGGGACTGAGGGGGGGGGGGTAGCTGAACTATTGCATCGGCAAAACTATTAAATGAGAGAAAATTCCTACACAGGCTACAACATGGATGAGCCTGGAGGACATCGTACTAAGTGAAATAAGCCAGTCACCAAAGGATAAATACTTTGTGACTCCACTGATACGAGGTACCTAGAGCAGTCCAGTTCCTAGGGGTGTGCTGGGGGCAAGGAGGGGGAACGCGGAACAAGTGTTTGATGGGCACAGACATTCAGTTTTGCAAGGTGAAGAGAGTTCTGTGGACAGATGGTTGGTGATGTTTGTACAACAACGTGAGTGTACTTAATCACCGAACTGTATACACCTGAAATGTGGGTAGAGTGGCAAGGTCTATGCTATGTGGATTTTAGCAAGATTAAAAAAATGGAGAACAATGAAAGTACAATGAACGTGGGCTTTCTGGAGGCGAACGCGTGGTAGGGGTGCAGACGGGGGAGGATGAAGCCAGCAAGATGGCAAGGGGCGTGGTTATAAAAGAGGCTGCCGCCAGGGGAACGTCCTCCGTGGGAGAGGGGACTTTCAAAAAACAAGGCGATCTCATACGGACGTGAAGCTGTTGGCTGGATCCACAGCCAATCCCCGTCCAGCCCCTGATCTGGACCGAAGCCTGCGGCGCACACAAGGTTTGCATGAACGGGGTATTTGAGGAAACCCGGAGGGACGCAATCGGTCTGAGGTGCCGTGAGGTGGGGCCGAATCGAGTGGCCAGAAGAGGACGGAGCGGTGATCCACGGACCTAATTCAGTGGAAGCAGGAGCTCAGAGCCACAGGCGACCATGACATTGTAGATCCTCAGCGCCTCCCATATCTCCGCGCCCCGGCTTTCCAGGGAATCTGCAGAAATCCCAAGGCTCACGCTGGACTCCCCAGAGGGTCAAAGGCCATCTTCTCTAGATCGTAAAGGGTCACATTTCCGCCACGTCCCCTCCTTGATCTTGCCGACCACCGTTTTTGTTAACGCTCACGCTTTTTGCATTGCAGCCATAACCTTTGGTGAGGGTTGCTGTCCGCAAGGCAGTAGAGCACAGCGGGGAAGAGCGGGGGTTCCCGAGCCAGACGTGCTGGATTTGGGTCCTGGATCCGCCACTTACAGTGTGGATTTGGACAGATGGTTTGAGCCCTGATTTATTCATCTAGCAAATGGGAGCGATGATATTAGGAGAGCTCCTGGGAGAAGCAAATATGGCACCTCATGTGAACTATGTAGAACGGCTCACACAGTGCTCACCACGATCTATTGTCTAGAGCCCGCCCCCACAGAGCCTGGTAGAACTCAACAGTTGATACTGATGGAGGTATTGGTATTACTTTATGGAGGGCTGTGGGTTCTTGACCTCCGCTCTGACCTACCCAGAGTCCTGTGTGTGTTGGCTCGGGAAGGACAGAGCCTCGTTCTCAGGCTGCCTTTCAGCTCTCAGGAACACAGAACCAGCTGAGCCCCGCGTGAGTGATTCCACTTGGGCGTTCTTCAAGGGAGTGGGGCACAGACCTACTACCGAGAGTAGGCATGGAATTGTCCTCTTAAAGGGAAGGCAGGTTTTTAATAGGCTCCCTGTGATAGGAAAGTCGGGGTTGCTGTTGAGGCCGTAGGGCTGGGAACAACCTTGAACCTGGGGGCTGCTCTTGAGCAGGGCGGGCAAAGTGGCTCGGACTCCTCAGCATTCTGCCTCTGGCTTTGACGGTTTCTCTGCTGCGTTCTGGCTTGAGTGCATTCGGAGGACTTGGGCTTTCCCGACGTACTCTGGGAGAAGGGAAGACATCGGTCAGGAGAGGACAGGGAGGGGACAGACCCCAACTTGGGAGCTGCTCGGGAGACCCAGGTGGACCAAGATGTGGGTCAAGCCCCACTTCTGCTCTGGGCTCGGCTGGTGACTCGGGAGGGGCCGACTCCCCTCCCTGAGCTTCACCACTGCCTCTTCTGTCTACACCCAGGGAACAAATACCCAAGGAGTGCCTACTCTGTGCCAAACACTCAGTCGGGCCCTTGGGACCCCTTACAGTCTAGTGAGGGAGAATCGTGTACATGCTGGGTATCTGTCCTCTTCTCTCCCCCTGCCCTGGCCTAAGGCACCAGAATCATGTAGCAGCCTCCTCCCCGGTCTCCCCTCATCCCCGCCTGCCCCCAACAGTCCATTTTCTACTCAGCAGACAGAGGGGTCCCCCATGCCCTGCATCTAACCCTCCAGTGCACGCCTATGCCCTCTGCATGAGACCATGGGCCGGCCCTGCCCACCTGGCCCATTTCCCTTCTTACTACTGTCCTGCCCCACAAGGCCCTGGCTACCCTGTCCTGCTTATGCCTGCTCGTGCTCTCGTGCATACACCGGGCAGGTGAGGGCCCTACTTCTGGGCTCTCCCCAGACCTGGACAGGGCTGGCTCCTGCCTGTCGTTCAGCCCAAGGAGCCCTCCCCTGACCCTGCCAGTCCTTCTTACTGTCCCTCATTTTACCCTGCTTTATTTTCCTCTGGCACCTGTCCCCTCAGGTGTTTTCATTTGTTGTCTGCACTCCTCCTCACGGGGCTAGAAGCTCTATAGCAGCAGGAACTTGTCTGGAATCTTCCCCAGAGCCCCGCTCACAGTCGCTAAGCAAGCCTCTCTCAAATGAATGAGTGAATAGGTGAACGGATGGAATGGGCAGCTTCCCTAGGACAGGGACTCATCTCTGGGGTCCTTGACCTCCCCCCCCACCCGAGGAGTACAGCCAGGGTGGGCCTCGGGGAGCCCCCAGGATGATCCGCTGCGTGGAATCTTACCCGGTTTGTCGCCTTTGGGTAGAGGCGGTGTCTTCGTCTTCTTCAAGGATTGGCTATAACCGACACAAAGACAAAACAGGGAAGGCGAGGCCTGAGCCCTCTGCTGCAGAGTCGAGGCAGGGAAGTGCTCCGGGGAGACGCAAGAGCCACCCCTCCTGGAGAGCCCCAAAGTATCTGTCCCTGGCTGGCACCACCCAAGTGGGACCCCGACAGACAACTGTGACTCCATTGCCTGCTGTGGCCCCAAGGAGCCAAGGCCCTTCTGCCCCAGGAGCGGTAAGGGAGGCCCCCGCACCAGCCCACCCCAGCCCTCGCTTGGTCCCTGCTTCCTCGCAGAGAAGAAGCCTTCCCCCGTGAGTGGAGAAAACAGAATTTCTGCTGCCCTGATAGAGAACTTCAGCTTTGCACCAAAGCAAACCTTTTTACGCGCCCAGTGTAATTTTCTTCCCTAGGGGTCTGGGAGAGGGGTTTTGAGACGTGAAACGGAAGCCACCAGATGGGCGGTGGCTTGCCCCAGGTCATAGTGAAGCCTGCCTTCCTTCTGTGCCTCCCCTGGTCTCTCAAAGTGGAAAAGAGCACCCCGTTCCGGGCCAGAGCAAGAACCCAGGCCTTCTGGTTAATGAGCACAAACACCTGCCTCCTTCCCCCCTGCCCATGCTGCAGCCACCCCACACGTGTCCCCTGGAGCAAGCACTTTCCTGCCTTCCCTTCCTGACTGCCCCCACGCTCTCATCTGCTCCTGCAAATCCTCCCTACCCCCGTAGTGTTCCCCAAGCTCTATCAGAAAAGCTCCGGAGATTGTCAAAATCACACATCCCCCGGTTCGTCCCTGACCTGCTGTGTTGGAATCCCTAGGTATTCGTATTTTAACAAGGTCTCCGGCAAATCTGCGTGCGGCTGGGCTCAGAAGCTAGACCAGCCCAAGGCCGGATCAACTGTTCCGGAGCCTTAGGTCTCTCATCTGTAAAATGCAGGTGGTTGTATGGACCACAAACGTGTAAACTGTCTGTCTGGACGTGCCAGGCAGGCACGGTGGGCACCCGCTATTGCTAGTTCCGTTGCTGACGCCCAGGCCCTCCTCACCTGCTTCGTGAGGGCTTCCCTTTCCCGGTCTCCTCCAGCCATCCAAGGTGCTTAACCCCGGCATTAAGGTATTTCTGCTTGCCTGTGTTAGCTTTCCTCCTCTACTTGTCTTCTCAAAGACCAAGAGCATCTGGAGGGGTAGATGCGGCTTCTCCAGCCCTGCCTTGTTTATAGCCGACACAGGTCATGCCTTGGGCATCCCCCACAGCCAGCCGCCAAGGTCCGGTCTGGCAGAGGGGCCTTCATGCAGCACCGGCTGGACTGGAGGGTCCCTGAGGAAGGGCCCGGGCCCGCTCCCGCTCCCCCAGCATCGGCTCCGGCAGCCCAGGCGGTGGCCAGCGCCAGGATGCCTTTTCTGGACCACCCTTGGCCTCACCTGGGAGGACAGGAGGCTGAATGCGAGGGAACGGTTCTGGGAACTGTGGGGAGGGGTCCAAAGCTCACCTGCAGGGTGGCTGTTTCCTCTCTTGAGATGGCTCTTGGCCTTCCTGGAGCTGATCCAGAAGTTTTTCTACTGGGATGGAGTCTAGGGGCTGAGGAAGGAGCTGCGCCACCGCTGTCTGCAGGAGCCCCAGGGCCAAATCTTTCTCTGCAAGCACGGCCAGGGGGCGCAGTCCTCAGTGGCTACACCCACCCTGTCCTGTCCCCACAAGGGACGGGCTGGAAGAGGGGCCTCCAGCTCTCCTGCCCAGCCTGGCCCAGGCAGCTTTCTGCCTCCAGCTCCCTCTTCTGTCTAAACTCTGTGGGGCACGCCTTCTCACTACTCTCTCATTTGTGTACACCTTGTTCTTGGCCCCCTCTGGCCCGCCCACCAGCCCACCCACCAGCCCACCGGTCCTGCCTCCTCCCCTGCCTTCTGCCTTCTGCCCCTCCCCCGCCCCGCCTCCCCTCTCTCTCTGCTCGGCCTCTGCTCGGATACACCTTCCGGCCCGTGTCCCAGTGTGCGCGCGCGCACGTCATTCCCGTGTTCGCGAGCATGCGCCTGTGTGCTTATGTGCACGTGTTGCGTCTGTGTGTGCGTCGTGTGCCCCACGGCGGTGGGTGAGGGGGTGTGTCTGCTGAGTACACCTTTGGACCCCTCCCTCCCAGGTGCCATGGCCAGTGGTCAGCGCAGAGGCGCCTCCGAGAAGCAGGGTCGGGGCAATCCCGCCGAGGACGGAGGAGGAGGGTGCAGGGGCGTGGTGCAGCTGGGAAAGGTTAGTTTGGGGCTCCAGAAAAGGAGAGGCCCAGGCGGAAGGCCCTGGGCGGGAGCCGAATGACACCCAAGTCCTGCAGAAGCAGAGAACAAGGCCCTCCACTTCGAGAAAGACGTGGGCACAGGCTGCGTCCTCACCCTTCGGGGGAGCGTATAGTAGCCAGAACTGGATAGCGCTCAAGGAGTCTGTCTGCAGGATTTGGCAGAGGAGCTCCAGGATCTGTGGGCAGGAGGACAGGCCTTGGCTCAGGGTGCCCGGATGGCACGTGCCAGCCAGCAGCACAGACCCCCCTCCCGCTCCCACAGCCACACGCTTGGCTAAAATGGTCCCCGCGATGGATCCTGCCCCCCCAATGGTCCCCTTCCTTGTGACTTCACACTTTATGGAGTGCTTTCTCTCCCGCCAGTCCTGGAGGGACGTTCCTAACCTCCTCACTGGCCAGATAAGGAATCTGAGGCCTTGAAAGGACACCTAGCAGGGAGAGTGTGGCAGAACGCAGCCTCTGAATCAGGTACGTGGGCCCCTCATTTGTGAAGCCTGCGTGGGCTGATTTTACCCCAAAGTCCCTCACTGGGGAGGCAAAGGCAGAGCTGGCCAGTCAGCTCCTTGGAGACGCACCGAATCCTTGGTGTGGGGGTTTCAGGGACCACACAGGCCTCCCCGCCCTGGAGTTCCCAGGGTCTGGAGATGCCAGCAAAGAGGTGGGGTGATCCCAATGGGCGGGCTGAGGGCCAGGGCTGGCTGATGCCGCAGATCGCCCAGCGTGGGGCTCCATCCCGCCGAGCAGCGTGCACGCTTCGCTGCCAGCCGGTTCCTCAGCCTCTGGCACCTTTGCCACTTCGGGGCCCTCTTTCCCCCGTGTTCTCCAGTCACGGGTCATCGGGGGAAGATCCAGCTCTGTGTCAGATGGGCTAAGGGGGCGGCTGTGCCTATGGTCGGCCGGAGTTGGGGCCTGCGGTGGGAGGTGGAGCCCCTGCAGTCCTGGGAAAGTGGGGTCCCCTTAGTGCTTGGCGGTCAGTCTTCCCATGACCTGAAGGGGCCCCGTCAGTCCCCAGCAGGTCGGCCTCATTCTTGGCAGAGTGGGAACTAGGCCAAGGCTCTTCCCAGGCCTATGCCTGCTAGGGTGCCCCCTTATCCCCAGATACCCGCCTGCTGTCGTGACCCCCACCCTGGGTGTGCCCCTGGGCCCTTCTCCGTTCTCCGCATCCAACTTACCTGCCCTGTGCCCCCTCCCCACAGGACCTGAGAACCTAATTCCAGGCAAGATGAGGCCGCCCTATGGTGGAGAAAGTACTGCTCTAGTCCCAGCTATGCTGCTCCCTCTCTGGGGACCTGGGCCACAGAATGTCACCTGGCAGGGCCTTGGCCTCCCTATCCGTGGAACGGGGATCCTGGGCCCTGTCTGCTCTATCCACTTCACGGGACTGTTGTAAGTCTCCAAAGGGACCGTGTGCTCGGAAGTGCTGATCACAGGGAGGGTGTTGAGATGCTGGCTCAGTGTCTAACCTTTCCTGGAGAATACGTATGCGTTGTCACAGGGGACCCTCAAGTCGCCTCAGCCCAGCGGAATCAGTCACGGACTCATGCCAGGCCTCGATGGGAAACTTGCACGCGGAGGAGGTGGGTTTCTGCTTCATGTGGTACAGACCAAACCCCCCAGAGTGTGCGGGGACCGGGCTGGGACTGGCCTTGCAGCCTGCAGGCTGCAGCACACCAGGGCGTGGGCTGGGGACACGGCCGGCAGGACCCTGCTCTCCACGCGTGTCACTCCCTCCCTGAACTCATCCAGTGCCACGGCTGGAGCAGCCCCTCGAGACATGTTCCTGCTCCCAGCTTGGGTAGATCCTGGCACTAAAGCCCCGAGGGGAAAGGCCTTCAAAGAGGGGGGGTGGGGAAGGCTCACACAGAAACCTGGAGGCGGCAGGGGATTGGATCCAGGCTCCTGACTCCCAGGTCTCACAGCCTCGGGTACAAGCGTCCCTGGGAGAGGCTGCACTTGAAAGCAGTTTGTAAGCACCTCGTTGGGATTACTGTGAGCCCGGGAGCAGCAACCACCACGTTCTCAGCCCTCAAGACGAGGCCTCGGTTGGGCCTGTGGCCCCCAGCCTTCCCAGGGCCTCACCAGCAGCTCCTGATCCGGCAGCTTGAAGGTCTGGACTCCTCCATCTTTACCAGAGGGATAAATCCGTGGGTCCTGGCGGGAGTGACGGTGGCCAGTGGCTCTGGTGCCAGTGGGGATGAGCCTGCCGGTCTCAGCTGAGTATTTTGCTCCCTGCTCCCGCGGAGGCTCCTCCTTCTGCTGGGAGCAAAGTAGCTAGAGACTCCAGGCAGTGAGAGACAGAGAGAGAGAGAGAGAGAGGCTCAAGGAAGAAGCCAGAGCAGAAGAGAGGGAGGCCCAGTCACACCTCCAGGGCGCCATCACCTCCTGGAATCCCAGCATCACAGCGTTGCAAGGACCTGGGAGGATGACCGGGCCAGCCCCACCCTGTTCTGGACCCCTCTCCCCAGCCGGGAGCCCATCAGTTAAAGCCAAAGTTCTTCTTCCTGGAATGTCTTGAATGCTGGAGCCCCTGGTGGTCCTCTAAAGTCCTCATACTTCCTCCTGGGTAGACCCTCCCTGCCCAACCCCCCCAAGCCCATCAGAGATTTGAAAG